AAATTTCTAATCTGTCAATATCATCAGCAAGTATCTGACCTGTGTAGGCCTAGAAACTTAGAATATGTTTTCTTTAATTTCAGTTTGTTTCTTCTTCCCCTCAAAAGGAGAATACTTCACTTACAAAAGAAAACTTCATGTATTAAAATGAAATATTTATTGTTTGCCCTAAAGTATGTAGAAGAAACTCTTTTTAGGTACACTTAGTATATTTTGGGGGGAATTATTTAGAAATATTCATCTATCCCAGACTAAATAAATATATTTTTCTTATAGTTAAAAAAATACTGCATTATTTATTCCTATATAATTTATAAAAGTTTATATATAGTTGGTTGAATTTTATAATAAGTGATGGCTTTGCTCTCTTTTATGCTTATATCAGTGTGGGAACGGAATTTGACTTTTCCTTCCAGAAGTAATAAAGGGGATGATAAATATTATTATAAAATAAATTGAATTTCTATCAACAATTAGAGATTTAAAAGGCTTGTGCTTTTCCCTGGCAAGACATGTATCATGTCATCATTCCATTTAAATGCAAACTAGTAACAAAATACAGTTCACCACATGCCAACATTTCTTCCTCAAGAATTTCTCTCTTGAACAATTCAGAGCTTGTTTTTTGAAGAGGAATTACTTAGCTGGTAGGGAGAAATGGAAATCTGAGCTCAGATGTATAAGGAAGAAAGTGTCATAATAGAAAATATGGATATGGCTAAATCCATGTGGGACTAAGGCTTGAATTAGTCTGCAATGTGACAATTTAATAATGCTAAATTACAAATTGTAATTTGAATTCCATCATCAGCAAAATTTTTACTGTGTCATTTACTGATCTCTCAGTGGAGAAATAGTTGAAATAGTTTGACAGTTTATTATCTTAATGTTCCACCGAACATTCAATGTCACATCTTGACACTTTGGAGGACGTGTGGTCCCACAGATGGGATTTTAACCACTGTCCCTTCAGAGCAGCAAATGCTCCTCAAGCAGCAGACTCAGGTGACAACTTTTCCCAATGGTTACATTTTGTTTCTGTGAACTAGCATGTATTTAATCCCAGTGGTGTAATGTTAAAGGTGTCCTGTGCACCTGATTAGGCATATACTTTTCATGTACTGTTTTGAAGCACTTTCCTATCATTGCCGTAGATACGTCGTAGGCATCACAGCAGTGCTCTTGGATCCTCGCTAATGCTCTGTTCAGAGATGAGAAGAGGCTGTTTTCCTGGTGTGCACTTAGCGTCAGCTTTCCGTTATGGTTTGAGGGTGTGTAAACTGTGAGTTACAGGTCCCAGGTATTATCAACCAGGTACTCTACTTGTTATTTTAATCCTCACAAGAATTTGTCTCCAGAGGTATCACTGTCCTCATTTAAAGATGAAGAAAGCAAAGGTCAAAGATTGTTAGCAGGAGAGAAGTCTGGTAGGTGTGGTTACTAATAGCACGCACACTTAGGGCCAGGCTACCTGGGCTTTTAATCCAGTCTCTGCCACTTAAAGCTCTATGACCTTGGGAAAGTTTCTTAACCTCCCTAAGTCTCAGTTTCCTAATATACTGAAAGGTCAAGAATGTCCAGTCTCATAGGACTATTATGAAGATTAAATAAGATGTAATACATGGAAACTGCTTGGCACACAGTGTGTGCTCAGTGGGTATCCCACATTATTACTAAGGCAGTTACGGAAGATCACACAGACTCCAGGAAGAAGCACTGGTGACAGTCCTAGGTCACCTTCTTACTCTGCTGTTGCTTTCTGATCAAGGCAAGAAATGTCTGTGTAAAAGTGAGCAGTAGTAATTAATACAGCGTCCAGTAATTTTAAGAAGGGAGATGTAGTAGGTATGATATCAAGGAAGAGAGATCAAACTTCGTGAAAGGCATAAATTACATAGCTTGGGCTGAGAAGCCGGGACATAAAATAAGTTTTCTAAAAAGTTACATTGTGTCAAGCCAGTGTGGCTCACTGGTTGAGCGTCGACCCATGCACCAAGAGGTCGCCGGTTCGATTCCCGGTCAGGACACATGCCCAGGTTGTGGGCCAAATCCCCATTGGGGGGCATGCAGAAGGCAGCCAATGTTCTCTCTCATCGATGTTTCTAGCTCTCTCTCCCTCTTACTTCCTCTCTCTCTAAAAAAAAATCAATAAAGGAAAAAAATAAATAAAAAGTCACATTGTATTTATTTATTTATTTATTTATTTATTTATTTATTTAGTTAATCCTCACCCAAGGATTTTTTTTCATTGTTTTTTGGAGAGAGAGAGAGAGACAACGTTGATGTGAGAGACACACATTGATGGTTGCCTCCCACATGCACCCTGACCAGGGCCAGGCATCCATCGAACCTGCAACCCAGGTATGTACCGTTGACCAGAGATCGAACCCGCGACCCTTCGGTGCACGAGCTGAAGCTCTGACCACTGAACGACACCAGCCAGGGCACACTGTATATTTTTAGATGAGAATGGGAAGGGAGTTCACCCTCCCTGGACTCATCTTTGCACAATATTTACTTAAATCCTTTACTCATAGCCTTAAACATGAGAGCAACAGAAATATTTGTTTATTTTTGGAAGAACCCTCCAGTGATCCTTCCCCAAAATGCATTTGTCACTTTTCCTACTTAAGCAGTACTTATACATGTTAAATATATTTCCAACATTTAGAATTGTAGGCATTGTTGTTTAGAATGAGTTTGTTCTTTTTATTTTTTCTCAGAGTTCCTGTAATACTTTAATTAAATCTCATTCTGGTACTTAATATTCTTGACATTCTTTTCTAGTTCTTTATTTCCATAGCTTAGATTCCCTACTTAAGGGCAGTCTGTCTAATGTCTAATTACATTGGGTAATATCCCCAATACAAAGCCAGATACAAATTGTAAATTACTCTGAGTTGAATGGTCTCTTTCATGTCTTATTCATCTTCTCAGTGGCCCAATAACTCTAGTTGGAACTGACATCAATTCCATTAATTAAAAATTAATTTTAAAAGATTCTTACTAAGATAATTTAGACAGAGTAAGTTTGACACTGTTAATATCTATCCATTTTTGAGATCACTTTTCTTGTTTTATAATGTAAGGGTTTTGATTTTGTTGTCATTTTATAGCAAATCTTACTGATCTTCAGAATAATCTTACATTGTGCCGCATACTGGAAATTTTGGAAAAGTAGTAGAGTGGAGTTAACCCTGACATTGTGAGTTTTTAATGCATTTAAGCAAATTTGGCCATTAGAAAACAAGCTGCAACAATGAAACTTACAGAATAGAAAAGGAGAAAAGTCCTTTCTTCTGGTTTTCAATGAGAAAGATTAAGCATTTCCTTTGGTCTCGATTAACTGTTAGATCAATTAATTTACCTCAAACTATTTTTTTGGCCTAAGGAAATCTGTTCTCTGGCCTTTTGAAATGGTTATATTCTGAGGCCAGACTTTTGGCCTCTTCTTTCAAAGAGATATATTTCAAGTTCTGCGCAGGCAAGAACTTGGCATAAGATCCCAGCGTGACACATGCACTTGATGATTTACCAGAATATCTACTTCAAACAAGAAACGGTTTTATATGCGATGCTTTGCTCAGACTGAGAGAAAAGCTGGTTCTTCGTAAGTCTCCAGTTTTTCCCCAAGCCCCATTTTCTCTCTCACATAAGAGTCCAATGGAATAAGAAATCTTAAAGTCAGTTTTGTTTAATGGTTTCTCTTATTTAAATATCACAGGTTAAGAGAATAGAAAAATGGAAAGAGATTGTGGCTGTATCTGAAAGGTGTACTTGGTCACTAGTCAGTCCATGAGCTCTGGGAAACAGGCTGGTCGTGAAAGCTTCCATTGATTGAACGCTTGAGCTGCCGTGTGGCAGGAGCTTCATGTGTGTTCTCATTATTCTTCACAACAGTCTTGCAGGATGGTTGGTGGTTGGTTGGTGTCAATGACCACTTCACATATTAGGAGACAGGCTGCAGGAGCTCACACATTAAATGGCACAGCTAAGATTTGAACTTCCTCCCCCAGATACCAACATTCACGTGCTTTTAAGTAAGAATATTTGAGAGTGCTTGGAAAAATTCTAAACTAAATGGCAGTTATTATTTCTGTTCAGCTGTGTTGCTTCCCAGACTACAAATACACACACACGCACACAGACGCGCGCATGTACACGGGAGCATGCACACACGGTGGATGAGATGGGAGGGGAGGAGAGAGCATTACTTATGCCACCTCCAGCGATCATCCCACCAGGCCATCAGCCTTTCCTTCATATGTATCATCCTCAAGCAGTGAGAAGAGAGGAACGAAGGAGAAGCCACTTACAAGATGTCTGATACTTGGAATTAAACATAAAAATTAATGTACAAATCTTTTTTGTGGATAACTTTAATACACTCTAGTGGGACAAAGAATATAGACTCCAGCAAATGGAAAAACACATGTTCTCGGACAGAATGATTCAACATCATAAATATGATAATGTTTCATGAGTTGATTTATAGATTTAACATGTGCCCAATAATAATACTAAGCGGTTTTTTACCCTAAAACTAAAGATGACGATTCTAAACTTAATGGAAATATATTTCTTAATAAGGCGTATGTGGTTGGTTCTTTCTCCTCACCACCAGTAGTTGACTCATGTTTAGTTAAATGTATAGCGGTATTAGAATTGTGTATAGGTCGTTTTCTGAGGAGCCTTATTTTCACAGGTACGTAGATGGGAGAGGAAGGCGTATTTATAGCAGCGCCATGCAGTTCTTTGAAACTCCGAAGTTAGATGCCAGAAATCATGTAGTGAACTCATCAAAAATTACTTTTAAGAATTTGTCGTCTGACTTGGAAATTGCCCACTGGCAAAGGGTTATTTACTGTCATGACAGTGTCAGTAGACGCCAGTAGTTCCAGTTGTTCTCTCTCTGGTGTATCTTCTGTCAGAGCCCTTGGAAGCCACTGATTTTAAAAACTGCTGATTGCGTCATTGTTTTTCCCTTTTTTCTTCCATAGTTGCATTAAAATCCCCCCCAGCTGACAGAAGTGGAGTCCAGGATAACGGCAGAACAAAATTTGGGGAAGGCCTGAACTTTGATGAAGGAGAGTTCTTATTACAGGTACATTTTAGTAAATACATAGTTCCTTATCGTTAGGGTGACAGCTGGCAACGGGGAATGCAGTCCCTGGGTGCTCGTTTCCCGTTGGTGCTGCCTGCACTCATCTCTACAGCAGCTGTGCGTGGGGGCCACGCGGGGGTGGGGCAGCGGGACTTCATCATTCAGCCACTCTGAGAAGATTTCTTTTTCGAAGCAATAAAAGTCACAACTTGCATTGAAGTCAGTACTTATGAGTGACAACACTGTTAGTCACATTACTAATTTTATGACTTCTTTCTCTACAGGCTCTGAATGGCTTTGTGTTGGTTGTCACTACAGATGCTCTGGTCTTTTATGTTTCTTCTACTATACAAGACTACCTAGGGTTTCAGCAGGTAAGTGTTTTTAGGTCATTAATTTTTTTTTTAAATTAACTTTCTACTTTTTATGTATCTTGTACTTTAGGGACACAATCAATAATTGGTATATAAAAAATATCAATGAAAATATATACTATAGAATAAAAAGCATTCCTTTTTAGCTAGTGTATTTTTATGCTAGTAATAATTTACTACATTATAATTTCCTTAAATGTGTATGGGATTTATGGATATTGTGTTTCTTCTTCCACTTACTAAGGAACACTTACATAAAAGAAACGTCCAGGTTTGAAAAGGGGCAGGAAAGAGGATGTTGCCATCTAATGAGCAGGACATATGATAAATGCGAAATGAATGAGGTGATATATAAAGGTATGAACAAAACACCATGGCTCATACCTTTAATTCTGGCTTTTGGAGATTATGGAAGTTTTCCTGAAGGAAATAGTATTTAAGCTAACTTAAAGAAAGCAGAGGGTTCAGATGGCTTGACAGTTGTGGAGGGAACACAGAGAAGAAAAGATAGAAGCACTAGAAGCAGTAGCCTGGACGTCCTTAAAGGAGGTGGCTGTGCCTGGGGTGTTCGGTGTTGCTGATGAATAGTGAGTACGTGGATGGTAAGGAAGGGGCCGGCTGTATCTGAGGGATTCGTCAGGGCTCTTGAATGCTAGCTATACTTATGCATCAGTAGGTCCTGCAGTCTAGCCTGCATAAGACTCACCTGAAGAACTTGATACAATCTTAGAAAATCTTTAGGCCTCAACCCCGGTGTTGTGACTCAGTAGATCCGAGTGGGCCCATGAATTTGCACTTCTGACAAGCTCACAGGTGACGTCAAGGCCGCTGGTTTGAGGAGCACTGTTGGCACTATTACGTAAGCTAATCTGTGATCCGTGCACAGTGGAAGCCACGAAAGGTGTGTGTTGAAGGGAATGTGTATGCTTCAGCCTGTGTTGCAGATGAGAACTCTGGCCGTTGGGTAATGCCTGCCATAGGGTGGTCACGCTAGAAGGTCAGGTTCCTAGGGAGATTTCTCTAGATGGCTAAAGCAGTGGGGTCTGGCTACTACCGCAATTTCTGAGGGTATTCCTAAAGATAATTTGCTGGCCCAGAGTAAGAATTGCTTTCAGACTTTTAAATTATAAAGAAAAGACACTAATGTCTATGGAAAGACCTATTTGAAACTTAATTACTTAGTTATCTTAATTATTGTTTGAAAATGTGATTCCTAACAGTCAAGAAATCAAAGAGATTGACTATTTCCCAATCTATTTTTTTCCTCATGTGTACACATTAGCCTAGATGTTCTTTAAGAAAACACGTGTCTGACATGGGTGGTGGTTTAGGCCCCATTGAACTGGAGTCACTCCTCAGGGGTGATGACGTGGATACAGTGGATCACCGCCAACCATTCTTTTTAGGTGCTTAGGATGGAATAAAATAGAATACTCCGTGTTATCACATGAAGTGTTTTGTGAAACATTTTTCCATGTGTGTATATGCACACATGTGATGCATGGAAAATGTATTCAGTACCACGAGCTGCAGTAAAAAAAGGTTTGGAAAATGCTGGTCAAGGGCTCAGCACTGTGGCAAATGCTGAGAGGCCAGTGGCGGAGGGAGGGTTCTGGAACTGGTAAAGGCATATCCCACACCCTAGAGTCCACTTGGAGCAATTCAGTCAACAGAAAACTGTTAAAGAACAGTGGAGAAAATACACAGTGAATACTATCTAGCTTAGAGAAGTCACAGACAACTGAGCGTTCAGATAAGGTTTCATGCGGAAAAAAAGTAGGACTTAAAAGATCAAAAAGGGATAAAAATAAGTAAAATTTAATATGTTGCAATTAAGGAGTGGAGAGGTGACTTATTTGACTGAAAAACATTCATGTGGCAAATAACTTTCGGCTTACCAGTTACAGTGCTAGCCCCTAGCTTTTCCTGTCGTGACCAGAGAGCTTTGCGATCCATCTGATTCAGTCATCACCACTAACGAGTGCTCACTAAGCGAGCTAGGTTCTGAAGGTGCTTGAGTAGGTCATGTTTGTTTTTTAAATCAGCACTATTGTTTTCTTTTCTTGTATTTGTTCTCCTTAGTCTGATGTCATACATCAAAGTGTGTATGAACTTATCCATACCGAAGACCGAGCTGAATTTCAGCGTCAGTTGCACTGGGCATTAAAACCTTCACAGTGTACAGACTCTGGACAAAGAATCGATGGTAAGAATATTTATCAAAGATAGCTTTAGGTCCTGGACAGTTTGCTCAGCGGTTAGAGCATTGGCCTGTGGACTAGAGAGACCCGGGTTCGGTTCCCGCTAGGGGCGTGAGCCTCGGTTGCAGTTTGTCCCCGGCCCTGGTTGGGGTTGTGTGGGTGGCAGCCTAGTCGATGTGTCTCTCTCACATCGATGTTTCTCTCTCTCTTCCCCCATCTCTCCCTCCCGCTCTGTCTGAGGATGGATACGGAAATGACCTCGGGTGAGGATGAAAAAAAAAAGATAGCTTTGGGTCCTGGCGGGGTGGCTCAGTTGGTTAGAGCGTTTCCCCATATGCCAAGGTTGTGGGCTCGATCCCCGGTCAGAGCACATACAAGAATCAGCGAATGCATAACTAAGTAGAACAGCAAAACGATGTTTCTCTGTCTCTCTTTCTCTAAAATCAGTAAATACATTTTCAAAAGATAGCTTTGGTGTTTTTAACATAATTCTCTGAAAGGAAGCAGAGAGCCTGTAGGGGCATAGAACTCCCTGGTGTAGGTAGGAAAAGTGGCGGAAAGCCACGTGTCTGTGGCTGCTGCAGGTCACAGAGACTAGTGAGCTAAGGAATATTGTTTTTTCCTCCAAAAATTGAATTATTTTATTATTTATCTTATTAATATATTTTTGGTTAATTTGCACCCAGGAATATTTTTTCCATTGATTTTTGTTTGTTTTAGAGAGAGTGGAAGGTAGTTATGGGGGTAGAGGGATGGAGAGAGAGAAACATTGATGTGAGAGAAACACATCGACTGGTTGCCTCCCGCATGGGCCCCGACCAGGGCCAGGGATCAAACCTGCAGCCCAGGTGTGTGCCCTTGACAGGGGATCAAACCTGAGACCCTTCGGTGTGTGGGCTGATGCTGTAACCACTGACTCACACCAGTCAGAGCTGTTTTGCTAATTTATTTTAATTACATTTTATTTTTATAATGATTTTGTTTGATATAAAAATGAATACATCTAAAAAATATTGTGACAGCTTTGATGACTGTCAAGTGGAAAAGTGTTGCCACGCTCAGGAACACGCTTCATAAAACTCCTCGTTGTGAAGGATGGGAAGGAATGTACAAAGTTGATGCCGGTGCGGGTGTGAATTATTCTGTGTGTAAAAGGCCCAAAACAAAAAAAGCAAACTAGCATATTCAAGTATTTTTTAAAAAACACTTTTCCAATGCCAAGAGTGTTTTCAGAAGTTCATAGAAGTGTTAAAAAGAAAAAAAAAATGGTGTTAAAAGTATAGAAGTTGTTGGCAGTGATTGGTCAATGGAAAAAAAAACAAAACTGAGTAGGTCAAGTTCTATGAGGTAATAAAAGTGACACTAAGTTTTAGTTTCATTAGCTCCCCTTCTGAAAATGATTATCTTTTTGCATTTTGCATACAGACTCCAATTTAGAAATGAACACAAACTTCAACTGTCCAAACGCTTAATTTTATAGCAAAATGGAAAATAAATGTGTGTTGCTGTTATTTCTCCAGAAGCTAATGGCCTCGCCCAGCCCGTGGTCTACTATAACCCGGACCAGCTGCCTCCGGAAAGCTCCGCGTTCATGGAGAGGTGCTTCATATGTCGACTGCGGTGTCTGCTGGACAACTCCTCCGGCTTTCTGGTGAGCGGCAGCTCTTAGGTCCTGGCATTTACTAGCAGTCTAGGGAAATAAAATAGATGAGCCGAAACCAATATCCTTTGGTTATATTTGCATTTGGCTTTAAAAATCTGTTTCATCAAATTATTTTAGGAAAATAACTTTTTAAATATAATTGCATCTTTTCTATGACCCCAAGATCCTATCCTTTAGGGATACAGTCACAAAGGTTGAGGGAAATAACATAGAAGCTTCTATTTTGCCTAGTTTTAGGACTTTTTAGGTATATGATAAAGAACTATGTAGCCCTTCTTTAATAGAAGAATCTTCTTCAGATGTAATGCCTGCTAGACAGAGAAATTATCCTGGCCTTCTCCACATGGCTAGGATAACTGCCATGTAAAAACGTGGATGTACATTCGTGATTGCAGAATCATCGTGTGGTCTGAACACCTGGGTAGGATCACCACAGAGCAGTTTAGGCAGGATGCTGAGAGTGTGTGCAGATGGTCTGTCTTCTTCGTCATCGTCCTCTGTAACCTTAAGAGATGCACCCCCCCAAGTGTGCTAAATAAGTTTGGAAGAAAATGGGTTTTCTTACTGCAGGACTTCTCAGAGCCTTTACAAAAGGGTTACATATGCTGTGATCCCCAATGGAGAGGATCACTGAACCCTTTGTTAGAAGGTCTAGTTCCGTTCATCTTACAGCTCTTCCTCGAATTGCAGTATTTGGCTTCCTAGGCTGCCTCACACATAAAAGAGGCATGAAAATCTTTGTCTAACATCACCCTGTTTTTTATTTAGAAAATAAGGGCAGCATAGCTATCCCAAAGTGGACCAGCACAGGAGACAGAGACTACAAGGCATGTGTTGCATTACTTTTGTGAATTATCAGGAATTAGAAATAATCAAATCTTAAACATGAGCAAACAATGATTTTTGTTTGTGTGTTTATTTCTGAAGATAATTTTGCTGACCTAGAGTTAGAATTGCTTTGAGATAATTTCCTTAGTACTGATGATCAGTGAGCATGTATTTTTTGAAATGGAGTCTGAGTGTAATTGTGTCTTTTCTTTGTTGTGCTGTTATCAATGCTGATATTAGAATTATCCCTTGGCCTGGTTACTGTTTTAAACAACTAAATTGATCATGCTCATGCTTAAATTGTCTTTGTTTCCTCTGTCTTCTGTATTATTCTTTATCTTTAATAGAGCTCTGCATTCTTTGTGATTTTATGAGTCCTTTTAATGCTTTAATAAAATTGCATTTTATCTCTATACAAAAGATTACCAGGAGCTATGAAACATACCATGAACTGTGGAATAATAGCTGTGCGTGTTTATAAATTAAATGTACTTGATCACCATTCAGTCGGGAAATATATATTGAGTGCACAGTGTGCAAGGAGCTGAGCGAGGCGCCATGAGGGACATGTGCACACTTAGAAAGTAATACAGGTATTCTTGTCGTGACCATTAAAACGCCAGGAGTGGTTCACCTCTCTGTCCCTTTAGGCTAGTCCTCATAGTACATTTTGGGATTGTTTTAATGGGCTTCCTGTGGACAGAGGAATGAAAAAGTAGCCGTTGTAAGCCTCAAGGACCTTAGATGTCATGGATGTGACCATGACTGAGCCATTTTAAAAGGAATGATTTTAAACTGTTGATTGTAATGAACTGTTTTTGGGGTTTTTTTTTTTTTTGAGGCAATGAATTTCCAAGGGAAGTTGAAGTATCTTCACGGCCAGAACAAGAAAGGGAAGGATGGATCGGTGCTCCCCCCTCAGTTAGCTCTGTTTGCCATAGCTACTCCACTGCAGCCGCCATCCATACTGGAAATCCGAACCAAAAATTTCATCTTTAGAACAAAACACAAACTAGACTTTACACCTACTGGTTGTGATGCCAAGTAAGTAAAACTTCTTCAGTTTTATTTTTATCAAATGTATGTGTTGTGCAATGTAGATCTCTCTTAGCATGTAAAACATATCGTGTACATTCTAATACTGTATATTATTATAATAGCAATTTCATACTCTTTTAGTCTTTCTTTTAAAATAATTCATACGGTTCACAAAATCATCCTATTATTTTATAATTTTTTTTGCAGTACTTGCTCCAGTTTCTGTATCATAAAGATGATGTGCTTAATTAGTAAGACTGTTAGTTTTATATTTCTAAATTATACGAATGTTTTAATTTTTAGCCCTAGAAGTATAGTAACTTTCAGAGAATTATGGCATATGATATTAAGCATCCATATATTAAAATATATCACTGCTTTTCTCCTTTCTAATATGGTAATACAGAGAGGTTTGAAAAGCCCTGCCCCTCAAAATAGGAGTTCAAACATTCTAGATTTTTATTAAAGATTTTGTTTTTCCTACATAATCGACTGTTAGATTTATCCTTAACCATACTAACTTTCGTGGCTTTATTCAGGAGAATAAAATAGTCTAGAGCTGAAATTTACAACCATAAGCAAAAGCAGTTACATAGACTTGGTTAATTTTTTCTACTGGCTAATGTAAAAATTCTGGATGTCAAGTAAAAACCTATTGCAGAAAATAGCGTTGGCTGATGAAAGTATGTTGCCCACTTCATTTATGCTAAATTTTAATTTTATTCCTTGACCTTTCTGTTTTTTCAACAGAGGAAAACTCGTCCTGGGCTATACGGAAGCAGAGCTGTGCACGCGAGGGTCAGGGTACCAGTTTATTCACGCGGCCGATATGCTGTACTGCGCCGAGTACCACATCCGGAGTAAGCTGTAGCTCCTTGCGAACATGTCGTCAGAAAGGCACAGACTCTAGTGCATGTTTCGGATTACTACATAATGTAACGTGGTTAAGGAAACTGGATAACCTGTTACTGTGTATCACACTTTTATGATTAACCTGAGTTACCCTCTTGGCCCATTAACTGCTCCATAGCTGCCACACTGCAATCTGTAGTAGTTTACTGTAGAAAGGACCATGTTTTGCTCAGGAGTTTGGTTTTTGGTGTTTTTTTTTTTTTGGATGGTATCATTATTCATTCAAAATTTATATCAGTATAGATTAAATTTGTAGGAAACATTTCCTATTTAAATTTAAAACAATTTTTATCTTTTTTTCCCCAAAAACTATAGTCTCTATAATTTCATGTGTTACTAGAATTGTCTGTTACTTAGCCTTTTGAATGATAAATGTAGTCTGAAGTAGGAAAAATAACAACTCCAAAGAACTATTTTCATGCATTTTAACATACTGTTAAAAAGCTGTCAAGATATTTATCATCTTCAGTGATGAATGGAATATGTCAGGGGAGCTGTGTCTCCGAGATTCTCTTTAATATGTTGATTTGAGGTTTGATAATTGTTTTTATTTTAGTGATTAAGACTGGAGAGAGTGGCATGGTGGTGTTCAGGCTTCTTACCAAAGACAATCGGTGGACCTGGGTCCAGTCCAATGCACGCTTGGTTTACAAAAATGGAAGACCGGATTACATCATCGCCACTCAGAGGCCTCTGACGTAAGCACGCAGACTTAGAATGTTTGCTCTTAGGCTTTTTTGTATGTTTTATTTTAATAACACTTTGGTTTATTTTAATAACACTTTGGTTTATACATGCTTTTACTGGAAAATTTACTCTGCAAATGAAAACTATAAAATTTAAAAATTACGTATAGAAAGAAAAGACATAGGCGAGGACAGTGAGGAGATAGAGCTGAGAAACGTGCCGGAGCCACTAACTATGTAGAGCTGTGGAGGAGAATAACAAGAAAATGTCAGGGTTTTAGCCAGAGTGTGTGCAGGACAGGTGAAAAGCTAGTGCCATCTGTAAAATAAAAATGTAGCAATGCTTTGTTTAACACATGTTTTCTTGTTTTGAACCGGCAACCCAGGCCCCGTTGGTCTGACGCTCCAACCGCTGAGCCATACCAGCCAGGGCTTAAGTTTCCTATAGATTCTGGAAATCAGGATTTTGTCAAATATGTGCATTGTAAATGTTCTTTAGAGGACTAAAAATTAAGATCAGTTTTTCTCCTTATGTCTATTTAAAGCCCTACAATATTTATGAAGCAGCGCCTCTAGCCATACCAGTAGTGCCACGAAATTTTGTTTATATTTTATTTTAGTGTGTGGTAGGAATCATCAACATCCCAAATCATCCATGGTGAGTGTGCATTAATGGATTAGGGCACATTTTTAGATTAAAACAAACACTTGTCTACTATTTTATCTACTTTTTTAAAAGTTGGATATGCAACATTTATTAAAAGGCCGGTTTTGCTCAATGCTTGGAGCATCGGCTCACAGACCAGTGAATCGCGGGTTTGATTCCAGCCAAGGGCCACGTACATTGGTTGCGGTTCGTCCCTGGCCCTGGTCAGGGTCACATGCAGGAGGCAACCTGTGGATGTGTCCCTCTCACATCGATGTCTCTCTCTCCCCCTCTATCTGAAGATAAATAGAAAAATATCCTCTGGTGAGGATTTAAAAAAAAAAAGGCCACTTTTTCTTCACTGCATTTTGATCAGATGATGTCTGTGGTTCTGTTTCTGGATCTGTTATGTTCCATTGGTCTAGTTGTCTATTTTTTTTTACCAGCAGCACATTGTTTTAATTACGCTGTAATAAATCTTGATATCTGAGTGTATGCCCTCCATTTTGTTTAGGACTTTTTGTTCTTAAAGATTGCCTTGCGTTTCTTGACCCCTTTATATTGTCAGATTCCCACCAGAAAATCTAAAGGGATTCCCATGTGATCCCAAATATCCCAAATCTGTATTTGGAATTACCCTGAAACTATAGCTCATTTTGGAAGAATTAACATCTTTATAATACTTAATATTCCAGCCCATGAACATTTGTATGTACATAACACTTAGGGGTGCAAGGTTATGTATTATTTACCTGGTTATTTACCTGTGTCTTTATCTCAATAATGGGTTGTATTTTTTCTTACATGAGTCTTATACTTCTTTTATTAATTTTATTCCTAGATGTGTTACAGTGCTGTTTTAATTTTCATGTTGTGCATTATGCTAATCTTTTTCTTTTTAGCTTCTGAGTTTTGTGTTTTATATAGAGATGCCTTCCCACTCGGATTCCCAAATTCTACAGTTTATTTTTATATTTGCATTTTTATTACATATAACAATTTAATGGCACTAGTCATCAGGAAAATGTATGTCAAAATAAAGTTTTTGTTCCCTGCTGTCGTTACAGTGTATTTTGTTTACTGTTTTTGATTTTAGAGATGAAGAAGGAACAGAGCATCTAAAAAAACGAAACTTGAAGTTGCCTTTTATGTTTGCCACTGGAGAAGCTGTGTTGTACGAGATAACCAACCTCTTTTCTTCCATAATGGATCCTTTACCAGCAAGGACTAAAAATGATGCTAGTGGAAGAGATTCTGCTACCCAGTCAACTCTAAGTAAGGATTCTCCCCATCCCAGTTCTCTCTTTAATGCCATCATGCAACAAGACGAGTCTGTTTATCTCTGTCCTGCTTCAAATAGCACACCTTTTGAAAGAAAAATTTTTAATGAATCTGGGGACAACAGCAATAATTGGCAAGACTCTATTGCACCGATAGGAAGTGATATCCTGAAACATGAGCAAATCGGTCAGCCTCAGGAAATGAACCCGACGCTCTCTGAAGGCCACGTAGGGCTCCTCCCAGAGAGCAAAAACAGTGACTTGTACAGCATTATGAAACACCTAGGCGTGGATTTTGAAGATATTACACACATGCAGCAGAACGAGGAATTCTTTAGAACTGACTTTTCTGGTGAGGATGACTTCAGAGACATTGACATAACAAATGAAATCCTGACATTCGTCCAGGATTCTTTAAACAAGCCCACCTTCGAGTATCCAGGTTACCAGCAGCAGCTGTCCACGGTGCTGACCTCCAGCTGTGTGGTCCAGGAGCACCTCCAGCTAGAGCCGCAGCACCGGCACAGCCTCGCAGTTGCGGAGCAGCAGCAGCAGCTCTGCCAGAAGATGAAGCACATGCAAGTCAACGGCATGTTTGCAAATTGGAGCCCCAACCAGTCCGTGCCTTTCAGCTGTTCTCAGCAAGACCTACAGCAGTATAATGTCTTTGCAGACTTACCTGGGACCAACCCAGAGTTTCCCTACAAAGCTGAGATGGAGACCATGCCTTACACCCAGAACTTGATGCCCTGTAACCAGTCTGTGCTACCACAGCAGTCCAAGGAGACACCGTTAGACTTTCCCATGGGGAATTTTGAACCATCCCCATACCCTGCTACTGCTTCTAATTTAGAAGATTTTGTCACATGTTTACAAGCTCCTGAAAACCAAAAACTGAATCCACAGTCAACCCTAGTGTCTCCGCAGACGTGTTATGCGGGGGCTGTGTCCATGTACCCATGTCAGCTGGAAGCTCAGCAGAGCAGTGTGGCTGCGATGCAGTACAACCCCACCGTGCCGGGCCCACAGGCGTTTTTACCCCAGGTAATGCCCTTCAGCCACATGCACCCTTTCGGTGATTCTCCTTACAGTATCAGCACCCGAGTTTATGCATGGTTACGTCAGGACTGACCTGATCTAGTATTTACAGCATTTATGTCGGAGCATTTCTAATTATTCTGTGACTTTCATGAGCCAGTACTTTTCCAGTAGGTTTTGCGCACAAGTGTATCATATTTACCTGAATTGTAAGGGAGAAAGAAAGGGCTGAAGCAACGAGAATATGGCCGTAAGTTACCAGGTGAAATTAGTTTAGGATAGATATTTTGGTTCATCTTTCTTGATTCTTTAAAATGACACGCCTTTTAAAAATTCAAACTTCAAAAATATATTTGAATTTTAATAAATAATTTTCTCTGCTTTTAAGCCAATGTCAGCTCTATATTAAAACACTACATAGGTGTGTTTCTTTGCATGCCTTTGCCCCCAACAATCCCTGGAATTTAGCCCTTGTTTTTCTGACAGCTGGATGTCTGTCATGGGACTGGAGGTTGATACTGTTACTGTCACTGTTTAAATGTGTCATCAGAACCCTCCTAGCAGCAAGCACACTTTAAATCGAAAAACAGTCACTTAAAAAAACAAACCTGATTTTATCTGCTCTCTTTGGCCACCCAGGAATTTAGCATGTTTGCATATATGCTTTTCCATTAGAAAATAGTTCATTTAAAAATGTATTTCAAAGTTTAGTTTTGAAGAAAATCCTGACTGAAATGAACGGCATTGGTGTCTGTGTACTGTGTGTCAGAGTACGGTCATTGAATAGTGTCTCTAGAGTACGGTCATTGAATAGTGTCACTAGAGTATGGTCATTGAATAGTGTTACTTGAATTTTGATCCCTAATTGTTCTTTTACACATTTGATTTACTCTGATTGTATATGAGCTAAGAAAAAAAGGCAGTGAAAGTTTTTCTTATTCTCATTCCTGACATCCTTCAATCATATTAAAATTTAATATTCAGTTACTGACTATTTTACTACAATGCAGTAAAGTTAAGCATGGGTAGATTTATATATTCTGGAGTACAAAGTGTAGAAAACTTATTTATGTAACATTACACTTTGAACAGGGCTTGCATTAGCTCATGAGTTCTTAACAGTGATGCCTTCACTATTTTGTGTTACTTCTTTATGAAAAATGAGAATTCTGGAGACCTGTCTCCCCCCCCTGCAGAGTAGCCACTCGACAGGTGGCTACTCCCAGATGAGCTTAAGTGTAAAATAGACACCAATTTTGGAGATTTGACTTAAAAAAAGAATGTGAAGCACCATTTTTTGTTGATTTCATGTTGAAATGATAAATTTCGGCTACATTAGGTTAAATTACATATGCAGCTCACATATTTCTATTCAGCACTGCTCGAGACAGTGTATTTAAAGAGAATCGCTGGCACATTTAATGACCTGAGAGGAATTTAAGACCCAACATTCTCCAGGCAAATAACATGACCCTCCATTGGAATAGTTGCCATTAGTTGAAGATCTAGATTATGTGCTTTTTACTATATGTTTTGGAGGATCTTTGAAGAAATCAACATTTTGATTACTAAAGCCTAATGTTACTTACCTAGGAATTAAGGGTATGATTTTCATCTGTTTGAAGGTTTCTGCAGCTCTCGCTAGGTGTACACTCTAAAGCCTCCGTAAAATGCTGCAGAACTATCTCAGTGTCTTCCTCTTTACCCCCTGTAGCAGTTACAGAAACCAGACTAATTTCATTGGAAGATGGCAAGAAAGAGCATTTTATTTTAATAACTTGATTCTGTAATTAGGATAGTAATTATAGTGGTACTTAATAATTAAAAGGATAGTACAAATAAGACATTGGTTTAGGAGATCATACCCATGGTATAATATTTAGTAGTAGGTATAAACCTCCAGCAAATTAGAACTAGCCTCTTCTGGAAAAGTCTTAGGTCATCTGCCATTCCAATACAGTCATCTCCAAATGTAATACATTCCTTGGTCCCTAGAATTTCAGATAAAATCTGGTCAAGGCAAACTTACTTATTACAGAGAATACACAGGGTGTGGCAAAAGGTAGGGAAAATAACACTGTACTCACAACTGTAAACCTACTTTGCCATACCTTGTACGACTGTGATTTGTGACTGCTACACTTTGATTCATCAATTTCTATCAGAATTGAAGGCCTACTCTCCTGATATATGGAATGCCAAATCGGAAGTGACAGTTATATTACTCTTCTGTATAATCTATTGGAGAATCCAAAAGGTTTTAAATGCACTGATATGCAAGATGTCCCCCAAAAATGTATACAGGGTGGCTGTAGATTGTTACATTTTGAAAATGAAATGTATTTTAATAAACACTGGCTTTATTAAGTGTGTATACCTTTTTTGAGGACACCCTATATATGTGCTCAGTATATTTTCATTGAATAATTTAAAATTTAGCAGCAATAAAGTAATTTGAAGTTTAACATGTAGGGTCAGTATTTTAAAATACATTTTAATATACTATTTAATGGCTTAAGATACTTGCAAGATCCATTTTAATAAATCGCATTGCTGTCTTTGTTTTCAGTTTCAGAATGGAGTTTTAAATGAAATCTATCCAGCCAAGTTAAATACTATAAATAACACTCAGACTACCACACATCTTCAGTCTCTTCATCGTCCATCAGAAGCCAGACCTTTTCCTGATTTGACAGCCGGTAGATTCCTGTAATTCCAAGCCCAGTTTTTACCTTGGTTCACATTAGTTGGCGAAAGATTACAGTTACTGAAACTGTCAGTGTTGGACCTCAGCAAGTTCGCATGGAGGCATTGATGTATGTTGTCCTCGCTGTTAATACCAAACCACGTTGTAACGTTTTTTGAAGAGGAGTTAAAAATGTAACAAAATTACATTTACTATAGTCCTTCAAATAGAAAGTGTGCAACCACAGCCTGGAGAGAGACCATCCACATTTCACATCCTGAGCACCACAAACTGTGAAAAATGTATTCATGGGAACTGTAAGGCCTTCTTAAATAAGAACATTTTCTCCATTGGTATTATTTCTGTTGGAATAAAAGAGAAATGCTTTAAGTTTTCAACAAGTTACCAAATTATTTCTCATGTATTTAGGGCTGCGTCTATCTCAGATGTTAAAATAAGTTGTTTGGTGCTTTTCTTCTTCTTTGTTAATGTAAGTGCCTCACAGTTTTTTCTACCTATAACACTGTAGGATGTATATTTTATATAAAATATACTTTTAAAAAAATTAATAGCATTCTATGCACAAATATTATTTGCATTTCTTAAATTCAGTCATTTTTATTAATACAGGCATGTTATAACTGCACTACCCACCTACTTCTTCAGGTAAAGAACTAATAATGATTTGAAAAGATAATTATTTATTATATAATCTAGTTGCTTCTAGACTTTAAATGTGCCTTACGTTGCAAAAATTTGAAAGTAAAATGTCTTTTCAAATTATTTCTTAATTATATTATATGAATGTGAATATTAAGACAGCAGCACTAAAATTTCAACAGTGTTTTCAGAAGAAAGAGATATACCACCTTTTCCCTCCACTAAAATCTCCACCCTGGTAGTTGGTCGTTGCAGTACGAAAATCCGCTGCTAAAGGCAACCACGTGTTACCAGCCTGCAATGGAGAGCGGACGCTTGGCTCCTGCGCCGTTCGATAAATTAAAGCACCCCTCCCATGTGTACAGGTTCCTTACAAACTGTTTTAGATCTGTAATCTTTTAAGATAATAGTATGTTGACTTTATAAATTTCACTTAGTACAGTGGAAATTGTTTTTCTCATATTTGAGAAGTGTTAAGATTGAATATAGCAATGTTTGGTGCAAAGTATTGTCATGCGTGAAATGAATGGTGCATTGTGTGCTTTATAATGAACAAATTTATTGGTAAAATATTTTGAATTTTTCATTTAAAAATAGTCCATATTTCATATGCACATAAATAGTTGTTTGGGTTTTACGTATCAGTCTTAAGAAATCGAATAGTGAATGCAACTGCTTTTAAGTTGGTATTGTGAAAAAGACAACCGTGCACTTCTGTTACTTTCAAACACTGGGCTGTTTCTATGATACAGACACCTTTATTATCAGCAAGGCAAATTTAGTCACCCTAAATCACTGCTGTCATCAGATGATTGAGAAAACGTGCCACCATCTGCCACTCAACTGTGACGTCTGACGGGCGTATGACATGTTTCGCATATATTCTATAAAAACATGGAATCCCAGGCTGAGATTCAGGATTCAAATACATTTTTCTTTCTTTTTTTGTAAGTTAATGTACATAAAAGTGGCTTCAGACAATATGTATGTCAGTTTTATGCATTTTCACTCAGAATTTTGAATCTGTAGAATCAATGTAAGTGTTGAAAACAACAAATTTGCCTAAAACATTTCATAATGTTCCAGCCTGAGCTGTCACGAAAGATTTAGACCAGTGGTCTACATTGATAATCCGTTTTTACATTTAAACTTTTCATTAAAAGTCTTCCTATAAACCATTTTTGTTAGTCTTTCCTCATGTCACTGGATAAATCGTTTAGTGGAAAACAGGCTTTTTAAATTGTATGACAACAATTAGTCACGCACTTACAAAATGAAAGCAATATTGTGCATTTTTATCTCTATAAAATAACTAAAACTTCTCTGAGAAGCACAAAATCACATTAAACCAAATGCTCCTTTGTCTGCATTGCTCAGTATGCCAAAACAAAGCGAGAAAGCTCTGTGTGCTGCTACGCTGAGGGATTTATTTCTAGATGGTGTGCACGTCTGAGGACATGGGCATGTCTGCTTTGAGCTTGTCCTGTACAAGTGTTCTCACAGCATCTGAAGACGTCCCAGTGTCCCGAAGAGGCATGAAGCTTTCAGTCATTACTATGCACAGGCCTAGTGTTTTCCAGTATTACTAACTTTGAGGTAAATGTTTTCATGACTTTTCTCTTTCCTTCTAAACGTTACTGCTTTACATATGCCATGCATACGTGTTTGTTTAAAATATGATTTATAATATCCTTACTATTATCAAACAAAATTGTATATAATAATATATATGGTAATAAAATAATCAAGTATTGATATGTTTTCATGTAAATTCTTTCTGGTTCATATAAAGGACAGTTGTATTTATAGTACAGTATTATAACTATGTTAAAGTCCGTCTATAATATTTAAGGATATGTTAAGGAATCCATAAATTTCTTACAGAGTTCTGCCCCTGGATATATTGGCATTGATCTAAATATAAAAACACATTCCAGTAATATTATAATTTAAAATGCTTCTGAAATGGATGATTCTAGCCTTAACCCATGTTAGTTATATTTTGTGCTTCAATTAGAAAATACTGCCCACCACCTACACTCTCTAAAATACAAATAGAACATCAAGCCTTTGGTGTTCAAGTCATAACTGCCAATCACTTGCCAAGAATTCTGTAATTAAAATTCTCTCAAAAAAAATTTTGTGAGAAAAACTGTTATTCTAGCAGCAATTATTTTTGTTTGATGCATATCCTTTATAATCAGATATTTTTCTCAGCAGCCTAATATAAACAGAGCAAGTTAGCATCAGACTGAATTCTAAACATTTCAGAAAAATTAATACTGAGTCTTTTGTCAGTTGAAAATCCAGAGAATCAGATTGCTGATCTCTTCTTTTATTCAAACGGCCTCTGTCGGCACGAGGGACCTTCGCTTGCTGCCTTCACTACGCCTGCCGAGCACCGATCCAGGATGTTCGCTGCCTCCAGGACTAGGCAATGCTCCCAAGTTTTCTCCCAACGTAGGCAGGTGACCTTGCTTCCAGGTTTGCTAATAAAATTCAGACCATCAAATAAAAATCCACAACATCCTAAGTAGGTGTGTCTGTGCCTTCAGCTCAACAACACCGCTACCCTTGGTCGGTTAGGCTCACCTCCAGTGTAGGAGGAGGCAAGGTCCCCCTAACTCCAGACTCGCCCTCCTTTCCAGTTCTCGTGCACTTACCTCTGCATTTCCCTTGTCCAGGGCCTTTCTCTCCCCTTCTCGGCAGCCCTGGAAAAAAATTAGTCCCTCTTGCATCTCTTTTCTTACTAAAGTACTTTTTAGCTCCTGTCTCTCAAACAGTTTTTGATCTCCTGAAATCTGGGTTTGTTTTCTACCGTCTGTGTATTTATTCTGTTGAAGCTGACTTAACTCCGTTCTTACCATAGGCTGATTCTCTATGACCCTGGAAACAAATTTCACCCTCATTGAACTTTTTTTTTTCCATTGAGCTTCCATGATATTAGTTGTCCTGCACCCTTTCCCTGTCTTTGTTAGCTAGTCCCCCCCTCCCCTCCTCCCCGCTACCTAGCAACTGGCTTAGTTATGACCATTTGTGGTTCTTTCTCTACATACTCGTCCTGTGGAACTCATCTCTTCTGCAGTTGCTGCCTTTATGATGAATCCCCTCAAAATCTTTTCTCTTACCTGTTTAAAAACGTGAGATAGCCCTGGCTGGTTTTCCCAGTGGTTAGAACATTGGCCTGCAGTCCAAAGAGTCACAGGTTCAATTCCAGTCAAGAGCACGTACCTCACTTGCAGTTGGTCCCCAGCCTTGGTCGGCATCATGTGGGAGGCAACCAATCAATGTGTCTCACATCAATGCTTCTCTCCCTCCCTCCCACTCTATCTGAAGATAAATGAGAAAATATCCTCTAGTGAGGATTAAAAAAACAAGTGAGATAAAAAGATACCTTATCTCTGACGTTTATGGAGCATTCTTTTTCTTTGAAAGCATAGCAAAGCTAAGCACAGACTCTGGAGTTAGCTACTGGCTTCAACATATACAGGATATGAATGATCGGGAAGGTTTCTTACCCTCTCTGAGCTCAAGTTTCTTTTACTACAAAATAAGGATAATGGTAATACCTGCCTCACTGGATTGTTGGATAATAAATAATTTATGTAAAAACATTTAGTGCCCAGTGACCAAAACTGGAACAATTTGAGCAATAAAATAAAAAGATAGCTTTAGATTACAGCCCAAGTAGTGAAATGAATATCCATGAGTTCATTCTGAAGTAATTAAATGATTGCATAAACGAGGGCGAAGGGGCATCTCTTCCTTACAAAATGCCAAATAATATTTGTAGATACTATGTCCCCTGATAGAGGGATCTTAATAAACCTCCCCCAGAGCGTGGGTTAGACTTAGCAACTTGCTTCCAAAGGATAGAACATGGGAAAAATAAGAGTGCACAGTAGAGATCGGGCAAGTGCTACTTTAACCAAGTGATCAGGGGTAACTAATATCACCACATAATCATGACGGCATGCCCTCCCTAATATGACGTTATGACAAGCATACTTCAACTCTATGTGTGTTCTCAAAAACATAACCCCAACCTAATCATGAGAAGAGGGCGGACAAATCTAAACTGGGGGATGTTCCACAAAATTCCTGAGAGTATTCTTTAAAGTGTCAAAGCCATGAAAAACAAGTAGAGAGACTGAGGCATTGTCACAGATCAGAGGAGACTAAGGAACATGATGACTAAAGACAATGTAGTATCCTAGATTACATCCTATAAAGGGCATTAGGGGAAAACTGCAGAAATCTGAATAAATTTAGTGTAATAGTATTGTACAATGTTAATGTCCAGATGTTGACCAGTGTACCGTGGTTATGTAAGATGTTTAATTACAGGGCCCTGCATGAGGGGAATACATTCCCTATATCAACAACTTCTATGTAAATCTGAAATTATTTAAAAATTATTTAAAAATTATCTTATATACTTTGCACCCGGATTAAAAAGATTATTAATATTGTTAAAATGTCCTTACTATCTAAAGTAATATACAGATTCAGTGCAATCCTTATTAAAATACTAATGGCATTCTCAGAATTAGAACAACTAATCCTAAAATGTATATGAAACCACAGAAGACCCCAAATAGGGAAAGCAATCTTGAGAAAGAAGAACAAAGTGGGAGGTATCTTGCTCCCTGATGTCAAACTATACTACAAAATTACTATAATTAAAATAGTATAGTAACTGGTAAACAAACAGATACATAGATCAATGGAATCAAATAGACAGGCCAGAAATAAATCACTGCTTTTATGGTCAATTAATCTGACAAAAAAGCCAAGGATATACAGTGGAGGAAGACAATTTTTCACTAAGTGGTGTTGGCAAAACAGGGTGGATACATGCAAA